AGTGGAGCGAGTTTGAGGGTCCGATTCGGTGATTGCTTAGCTGCTTGTGAAGGATCTGTCCCTGAAACTGGTAGAGATGGAAGGTGAGTTTGCTGCTTGGCATGCCAGGTGTAAAAGTAATGTTTTTCGATTATCTATCCACCTGTTACTATTGTTTATATGTATTTATTATAATGTATTTAACTAATTATTATTAATAGAAGATAATAATTGTATTATGGTTTAAATAATGAAAATATTGATAATGAAAATTGTAGTGAAAAGGAAAAAGAAAAGAAAAGAAAAAATTGAAAATCTTTATTATATGTAATAGTCAAATAAATCGACTTGTTAAACTTGCACTTGAAATATAATAAACTGGAAACACAAGCCATATTTTTTATAATAGCTGCATTTGTAGAGAATATCATTAGTTTTGGTGAAAAGAAAGGATATCGATAAGAATAGAATCAGATTATATTTGGCTTGTTTTATAAAAATGACATTAGATATCATAAATGTTGTAACGATGCAGACCTTGGGTTGGAAACAGGCATGATATTGACTTTAAAATGGACTGGGATTTATCGTTAGCGTTATACTGTTGCCGGATGTTTCAAATACTACATACCGTTAAAACATTTAGCAACGGCACGAGAAAAGAGATGATGATCACGGAAAAACCGTATCATCAAGGTATTAATTTATACTATTACCAAAGGCATGAAATGCAACTAAATAAGGGCGCTATAGCAAATCTTGGTTGGTGTGTTACGAAAGAAAAAAAGCCCTTCGAACGCGATTATGTTATGCAATATAAATTAGTTATTTCACGAACTTTTTTGTAAACACTTGCGGTTGTTTTTGCTCAATCCTAGCTTTCTGCGATTACACAACGCGAGATCATTAGATGGCGTCCCAATAATCCAGCCTTAAATCCCATGAAAAAGTATGCCCAAATATTGTGAGAAGTTGGTGCGGTTTATGGTCGAAGAATGGAATTTATGACAATAAAATTTCTTCTCATAAGCTATTAAATATTATATGAAAGAGTATGAGACTAGCATGTTTATTAAATGCAAGGGCATTAATCATGGAGCGCGTAATGAAAGTGGTAACGAGAAGAACCCTTGTGATCCGCCTACCACGTTCACACAAAAGGTTCTTATGGAACAATGGTTCTAGCAACAAGCAGAACAAATAGAATACAAATATATTAACTTTGCTGGTTTACAATATTATTATCTACACTGTGCTATGTTATTAATCACTAACTTAAATGACGTCTCAAGTCAAATTATGGTTGATGTCTCCACTTTTTCAAAAATCTTGCTATTTCACCGACACATTTACCAAAAAGATTTACTCTCAACGATCCCATCTGGGTAGCTTCCTTTTTATGCGGTTTTCTGTAAAACGCCTATCTAGAAGTATTATTGTCGCGTAGTCATTTCCGTGCCTTATTGCGCGACCTATCAACAGCAATGCTTAGTGCCACTGTATATCGAATAAATTCAACACCTTTAATGTTTTCTCAAAGTTCTTGCCTATCGACTGATTGACAGCTCTCATACACAAATTTTCATAATATCCCATTCCTGCTCCATTAGATTTCTGGTCCATGTATTTCATCTTCTCCACAAGACTGACAGATTTCATATTGGCAAATGGAAGCCCAAGCTCTGATTTGAAGTAAGGTTGTATTGGTATTGGTAAGAAAAGACTAACGGGTAGAGGCATAGCTATAGCGTAATTATATGATCGGTTATTTGGAGAATCGTGAGTATTAGTGGTTTAATCAGGAGTAGAGATTAGTCAAGCCTTGATTGAAAGAGCTAAATCCCAAGGCCAATTATTGAACCTTACTATACAATCCGTGTGAAATAAAGCGCAAATTCGCTGTTTTATAAAAGATCTCAAATAGAAAATGTAATGTCATCAGAAACATTAATTTTGACACACATGAGCATTATTCAACAAAACCTATCAGAAAAGAAAATACGGAAACGCCTTACAACTCCAAAGAACCAGCAAGCGGTACTCACTCGAATATATTTTTTAAAAAAACATACCGTATTTTTGGTTTTAATTATACTCACAATTCTCCAAATAATCGACTGGTATAATTACACCTTTTTTTCGTAACACTGTATATTCTGTTTTTATCCATTAAACGATCTAACCATTTACAATATAAATCGAACTAAAACTACTATCTATTAAAGCTTGGCTTTGATGAGATGTTAAATTATCGACATTTACTTCCTAAAAGTTACTTTTAAATTCCTCGGTAAAGAAAATGGTCTGACTTTGTGAAGAACAACCTCACGGAAAAAGATTGGTGAGGCGATTAAACGATGAATTAACAAAGAAAGGAAGGAAGACCTAGACAAGGAAGAAGAAAAAAGTCATAGCGGCGATAATAAATAGTAATAATGCACGCACGTAATAAAGATATGATTTGAAACAAAGCTGGTTTTGATTTAAGATTATGTCTACGAGTAAGAAAACTTGTTACATAAAAATGACCTAAATTTATGCTAAACACTTGTTGCTGCTATACAACAGCCGGAAAAGGTCAATATTGTAACAAAGACATTCAAAGTTTTATCAGGCACAATACTTAATGTTGTAGCATTTGGCTCAAAATAATTGAAAGGAAATATTCATAAATTACATAATCAACTGTCATTTTATTAAGTCAGACGATATGTATTTCAGTATAGGAGTACATCCCTTATTAGAGTTCCATTTAACGATTGAACTACTTACTTCTTTCGGAAACATTCTAAAGACTGTTGATGAAAAATCTTGTTTAATTACTTAAATTTCAAAATGGCAATGCAAGAGAATGTAGGAATGACCAAATTACTGTAACCAGTAAAAGAATACGTTTGTAAATTGACTCTAAAAAGCAACTGATTTCCCAATGTATTATCTCACGGCGATAGATCTCCTCTTTTTGATTTCCAGAATGGCAGTATCGAATGTGTCACCGTTCACCTGCAGTATGAATTTAACCTTTTCTGACTGTGTGTAGCACAACTCTGTCATCGTGCAGAATCAGATAATTTCTTATCATGACGCAGCGCTACGCCATACTTTAATGCAAGGTCGTCATTATAATTGTACATATATACTTTACTTGACACAGTATCAGTCAAAATAGATATGACTAATTCGGCAATGTGATTGTTCCACCCCCCCCAACATTAATTATATTAATTGTTATCCGTTTTATTTAAGGTATCTTATAAATTCGGTCTTTCAATTTATTGCATTTTGATCGTTTTGATTCGATTAGCCTAAATCTTGAGTGTCGTGACTTTTGGGCGAGTCTCCGCATCAGAAGTCGCGGGACCGCAAGATTTTTTGCACAACTTGAGGATTCCCGCAGAGGTTGAATGTCACGGGCCAAAAGATTTTTCTGTAACATAACCAACCTACTATTGGTTAATGTAAAACGTATATGATCGAAGAATTTCATTAATATCTAATCTGCGCCACGAGGCGAAATTCTTTGAAATAAAGTATTTTTTTGGACGTTCATTCTCCTTCGTAGCAAACACACCCCCCTACTCTTGGAACAAATTGCTAGAAGCGCCATAATACGAATAACTTTTATCTGAAGAACTAATTGAGTATCAACCATGGCTCTCCGTAAGTACATATTCGACTATAGTAGAGGCGGGAGCGACGCATTCTCAAGAATAGAGTATATAAGTATACTACTGAAACATATGCTTTAATTTCACTATCACGCTTGCTGGTTACTCCGGCAACACTCCATAATATTCTAGTTCTGTATTAATGTCGTCTCTACTTATATACAGGCGCGCAGTTCGAAAACAGTAACGATATTGGGGTATTCTCTCGCCTAACCAATGCATATTGTCTTGTCGCTTTCGGGGGTTCTGAAAACTTCTATAGGTATTTTGTGTTTGTGATTGAATGGAAAAGATAATATAAACTGGATGGGAAGAACTAATTGATTGAGTTAGGAGAGAAGATTAGATGTCTGGATGAATTATTTTAGTTGTATTGTAGTCACTGCCTTCTTTATAGTATATCGCTAAACAATTGATATATCAATATATGCAGCGTATTTGAAGGTGAATTAGGCGATGTCATTCCTATAATCCACACGTCAATAGCTGGAACACGTATTGTAGGACGATTAACAGTGGGTAAGCTTCTTTTCTGCTTTGATTAAAATGAAGTACGAGACACGTTGAATTAGAGAACTGTATAACCCACTTTCCTCTCATCTGTACCCAACCACCTTGCTTTCGCGCACCTTTATTAGGCAACCGCAGGGGACTTTTAGTGCCAGTTACAACTACTGACCAAGAATTACAACATCTTCGCAACAGCCTTCCTGATTCTGTCAGAATCCAGCGCATCGAAGAACGACTTTCCGCTCTCGGCAATGTGATTGCATGTAATGATCACGTCGCGCTTGTTCATCCAGAAATTGATCGAGAAACACAAGAGATCATTCGAGACGTGTTGGGCGTTGAAGTATTTACACAGACTATTGCAAAAAATGTACTCGTTGGGAGTTACTGTGCCATAAGCAATCACGGAGGATTGGTAGGTCTTCTCTAACCAATTGTGGATGTGAGGAGGTGGGGGAGAGGGGAAGAGAGTATTGATGAGATTTATGTAAGAGAGGCAGAAAATAGCAAGTATTTGAAAGCGTATTCGTTAATATTGTTAATATTGTTATTATTATAATCCAATAGGTCCACCCAAGAACAAGTATTGAAGATCAAGACGAGTTATCTTCGTTACTACAAGTCCCGTTAGTGGTAATTAATTCATCCATAAGTTTTACTGGTGACTCTTTGCGGGCAATGAATGCTCACCTTTGAGCCTTCATTATCTATGTTCGGTATCTATCTTCATTCTCTTTACGTTCCGCTTATTTATTTCCGACAATTCTTTTATTCAACCAAACAGGCAGGCACGGTCAATAGAGGATCGGAAGTGATCGGTGCCGGTCTAGTTGTAAATGATTGGTGCGCGTTGACGGGAGTTGATACAACGGCAACGGAATTATCGGTAATTGAAAGAATTTTCCGACTTCAAGATGCTCAGCCATCGGCTATTGTCACAGAAATGAGGGACCCATTGCTGGATTCTTTATAACCAAAAAAAATACAAGCATAGAGATAAACTCTTTAATTTAGTAAATCTGCTTAATAGTAAGCACGCGTGTGTTTGAGATTTCCAAGGGTTTAGAAGGCTAATATGTTAATAATCTGACAATACAAATGTAAGACAAGGAGCAAAAAAAAAATCATCATAAGGCAATTACAAAATAAAAGTATAAAACCTTAATCAGAAATAACTCTACGGAAGTTGCTGATTACCTGCTTTTGAAACTCTCTCTCAAATTTCCTCTGCCTAACCTCATGCATTCTTTCAGTACTATTGTGGGGTCCTCATCCGCTTTTAGAACCTGAATAATCTGGGTCAAGTCGTTAACTTGCTTGTATGCACTGAAGCATTATTCAAACGCGTATTCGAGATTTCTACATATTTCTGACTGTCGACTACTTTCACCACCATCATGTTTAATTGTTGGGGAGAGCACAATCAACATCATATCTTTTTTTTTCTGGAGTCACTATCATTCCAGATTACTTTTTTTCATTCTTCATCCGACCTTACGTTCTCTGACATGTTACTGCAATATAAAGATGCTTGGGTTGTCGCAGACTTGATGCGAACTGTGAACGCACATTTACATAATGAATATAACGCTCATGATCAAAAAGTAAAATTTTAAACGTGTATGTCATAATCGTTTTATCTAGTACTATATTAGCCTTTCCACCTGCATGAAAAAGGTATAACACTGATGTTCGCAAGAAGGGATCAAGATATTTTTTTTTCTCTCTATCGCTCTATGCGCCAATCTTATAAGCGAAATCCATTATTAATGGGAAACACGCGCAACACCCAAAGGCGCTTTAAATATAAATACTGTACACGTAAATCTCAATGTCATACAGCAATTGAATGACCGTTAAAATGCTTTACAAAACGCGACAGAAGAATTCTTCTGACTATGAACGAATGTCTGTCTAAAAACAACACAATTATAACTTTTTGAAGAGGCTGACGATGGCTGGTATGTGTGTATAAAAAACGTTAATATGAAATTAATATACAAATCCAGAAATCACAGCACAATCAGAAGTATTTTAAGGGGAAAAAATTACTTGTTTTTAGGATGCGTGATACCAATAATAAGGAAAATTTTACTTAGAGACCTATCGACGAAATCATAGTCTTTAACTCGTTGACTGTTTGAGCTCATTGTTGAGCTTTGATTCGCATTTCGCTACTTTGACGCAATTTGTAACCAAAGGGTCAAATTTACATAACAATAGTTTAATTTTTTGTGAGTATAGTTTTTATTATAAAAGTTCCCGAGTGATTGATTGCAGGGGAAGAAAATACTCGGAGCCAAAGCCATTAATAAGTATAACCTATTTTTTTTGGTCACTCTGATGCAAATTCACTATTCTCGTTACGAATATCATCTTTTGACGCATTAATTTTATTATAATTGTATTCACTCTTCATGTACAGTATTTCCCATCATTGAATTACGTCTTTGACTTCTTTCGTGTCTGGAGTTTATAGTCTTAATTAATTTTCTATACAAGTGAAACTCGATAAGCCGAAGTCACGCTAAGCCGAAATTGCATTAAGCCGAAGTTTTTTTGATTCCCCAAAATTTTATTTAGCCTAAGCCGAAATTAATTAGTAAATTCGCGTTAAACGATAGCCGAAGATTTTTGGCTAACCGACTATAATAATTTTATCTCGATATACCGAATTAATCACGTGAATTTATCTTGATTGGTTCATTCTTAAATGATCGAAATCATACACGTACTATTAGCGCAGACAATTCTTTTCACATGCCGTTGTAATGTCATAAACAATCACTTGATTGTTCATAGGCCATTCTCGAATGATCTTCCATTTCGCGCGCGTGGCTTGTATATATTTTTACGGGAAAGTTTCAATCAACTTTTTATCAGAATGAACAATCGTGGAGAAAATTCAACAAGTGGCTCTTCAAATGTTATGTCATTTTTTAACGATTCAAGAAATAAAACAGTAAAGAAAAAGTAAACCGAAAGACGCTGGCTGGCCTTGAAAAACAATCTCTTTGTATTAATTCTTTGCTTCTGTATATTACTCAAGATTGTGATCGTGAGCTTCAAGTTGATACTACTTTCTTATCTAATCTAAAAAAGTTAAAGAGAACGATTGAGACTAACAACAGAATATGTTACAGCAACGAGTATTCTTACATTTTATCATTAATAAAGTTTATATATAGTGTTGTTATAAGCCGAAAGCTTGTGTAAACTATATATAAATTAGGCTTATTGCGAAATTTGATAAAACGAAAATCTCGATAAGCCGAATAAA